CAGCTCATATGCTTATCTATGGAAGTGTTGATACAGCTCATATGCTTATCTATGGAAGTGTTGATACAGCTCATATGCTTATCTATGGAAGTGTTGATACAGCTCATATGCTTATCTATGGAAGTGTTGATACAGCTCATATGCTTATCTATGGAAGTGTTGATACAGCTCATATGCTTATCTATGGAAGTGTTGATACAGCTCATATGCTTATCTATGGAAGTGTTGATACAGCTCATATGCTTATCTATGGAAGTGTTGATACAGCTCATATGCTTATCTATGGAAGTGTTGATACAGCTCATATGCTTATCTATGGAAGTGTTGATACAGCTCATATGCTTATCTATGGAAGTGTTGATACAGCTCATATGCTTATCTATGGAAGTGTTGATACAGCTCATATGCTTATCTATGGAAGTGTTGATACAGCTCATATGCTTATCTATGGAAGTGTTGATACAGCTCATATGCTTATCTATGGAAGTGTTGATACAGCTCATATGCTTATCTATGGAAGTGTTAAGAGGAAGAAGAGGATCCACATGAAAAATTAAAACTGGAAATATCATCCAACAATCAATGATAAGAGACAAACAACATCTCATCCATGACATTCCAAACAACTCCACGCCAATGCAAGTTCATTGTCACTCCAGAGACAACGAACTCAGAATTTATACCCTTAGATATGGTAAAATATTTAGATGGAAATTCAATCCTAATTTTGTTGGAATCACTCCTTTCTTTTGCCATTTTTATTACCGTTTATGATAATAAAATATAGCTTTATTATGACACAACAAACACACCTTATGATTATTGATGTTGGAGTCCCAGACCTAACGATTTTTATATTAGCAATGATTATAAAATTTGAAAGAAAATAAATTATTGAATTAATTATTTAGTTTTTAGAAAAATTAGTGAAACATCATTTATTAATTTTTCATAAAAAGAGAGATCCAATATATATTTTTTTATTAGTTAAGGTCCCTTAATAAATAGTTGAAATTTCTCAGTGTAGAAATTTCTCTGTGAAAATGTTAAGCAATCTCAACTATTATGAAAATTCTGCATGTTCTTTATCTTATAAAATCTTAATATCATAGATCTTAAACTAAAAACCCCTTCAATTTTTCATTGAAATGTGACAAACAATCCACAATAATCTTAGTTGGCCCATTTAATCTTGTCTATTTTTTTTATATTTAAAAATCTTTACATAGAAAGTATAAAAAAAAAGAGAGGAAATTTTCATTTGAAATTTAATTTTGTTTTAAATTATAAATATTATTGTAGTCTTGTATAATTTCAAATTTTAAAAATATTATTAATCAACTTTTTAATTTTTAAAAAATAAAAATTACATGTGAGGTTTAAAAAATTAAGAATTTATATATGTCCATCACTACTACAAAAATAGTTAAAGATCACACTTTGACAAAAAAAAAAAGATCTCACTTTTATTGGAAGTGTGATAAAAAAAATTAGATTGATATTTTAATCACACTTAATTTGATTGAGTGTGATAATATTTATTTTTTATGTCACTTTTCAATTACGTGTGATTATATATATATTTTTTTAATCACACCTTCTAATTAAAGTGTGATTATATATACACTACTAGTTTTTAATCACACTTTTTAAACAAGTGTGATTATATATATATTTTTTAATCACACATTTTAATTAAAGTGTAATTATTTATATATTTTTTAATCACACCTTCTAATTAAAGTGTGATTATATATATACTACTACTTTTTAATCACACTTTTTAAACAAGTGTAATTATATATATATATATATATATATATATAATCACACTCTAAATAGGTGTGATTGTATAAAATATTTCAATTTGATTTTTATATAAAATATAAAATTCCCAAATCCGCGCCTCTATTCTACCCATGAATGATAGAGATGACTCACTACTAGAAAATGAGGCTTTAGACACGGAACTTTTTGCCGATGCTACTTCATCTAAATCCGTTGTATTCACACGTTTGAACCAAAGAAAGGGTGGTCTGCACCACTTGAAGATCCGCACTCTCTCAGAGTGCCTCATTGGACAGCAACCCCCATGCTAATTTAATCTCTCTCTAACCATACTTTTCCCACACCCAACTTTCTTTTTATTTTATTTTATCACACATACTT